CAGGTTTCAAATATCCATCTCTGTCTAGCAGGCGTTAGGATTTCCGTGACGTCACCGGTTGCCCTAAGAGGCTGTCAATCAATCAGACAATCAATCTAGGGGTGGCGTGATCTTAGGGTGTGGTTAGCCGGCATTAAAGTGTAACCCCCCCTCCCTTCTGCGGTATAAACTGGTAGTTTTATGCGATACGGAATTGATTTAGGTTAGGTTACTTGTACTACAAAGGCACTAATTTGAGCAGTCGATGCTAGCATGTACTATAACAGGTACTAATTTATCCACTCAAGTCATGCATGTACTATAGCAGGCACTAAGTTAACCAGTCAATTCTTGCATGTACTATAGCAGGCACTAATTTAACCACTCAATTCTTGCATGTACTATAGCAGGCACTAATTTAACCAGTCAATTCTTGTAGCATGTACTAATTTAACCACTAAACCTTCAATTATTGCATGTACTCTACAAGGATCTAATTGAACCAGTAAATGACCCAGCATAGGGACAACTTTAACGGTCGCCGGAAACCGCAGGAGTAAACGAACGAGAAAAGAATCTTCGAAACCTGCTGGCACAAACATTTTTTTTTTTGTTTTTTGTTTTTTTTTTTGTTCTTTTTTTTTGTTGTTTTTTTTTGTTGCTGCATCGGCAGTTGTCACATGACATGAGGCGGCCATTGTATGGGTTGTATGGGTTGGATTCTGTGGCCAGATTTTTCAGGCGAGAGAGATCAATTTGTTATTTCGATAGTGCTCTTCTACTAAACACAGCTTTTTAAAAAAGAGTTTTCTTAAACAGCATAGACTTGATCACTTATTGGTGGTACACATTAAGTTTGGACATTAACTAGCGTAGATTTAGAATATTAATATAAGTGTCTAATTATCTACCTCTCTCTGTGTGTGTATGTGAGTGTGTGTGTATGTATGTGTGTGTTATGTATGTGTGTGCGCGCGCGTGTGTGTGTGTGTGTGCGTCTGAAAGATTGTGCCATTTTAGTCGCCTGTCGATGTCTTTAATTCCTGTCTCGTTGTTTACCTCCTGGTCGACTTTAATGTCTTTAGCTCGGAAGGCTATCTTTAGCTCAATTTGCTGTATTTAACTCGCTTGGCTGTCTTTAAATTGCTTGGTTATTTAGCTCAATTGGTTTTTAAAGTTCAATTGGCTGTCTTTAGATCAGGTCCCCGTGTTAAGCTCTACCACTGAATTTTCCAAAAATTCACTGTCTTGATCTGTATGCTGTCCTAAGCTCAGGATGTTGTCGTAAGCTCATGTCACTGTCTATCCGCAGGATCACTGTCTTGCTAGATAGAGTGTCTTGAAATAAAGTCACTGTCTTAACCTCTGTGAACTACGCTTAGCTGATTTTTTTTTTAACTCTGTTATTGTATAAAGCTAGGGTTGCTATCCTTTATAATTAAAAATGCTTGAATAATATCACAAGTTTTACAATGTAAATGAAGCATCATAGTTTCTCTGTTTTGGCCTTAAGTTGAAAAAAAAATTACAAATTTAAATCGCAAAGCATGGAATGTACCCAAAATATTAATTTAAATAATTAAGCATTCTTTTCCATACAACCAACATTGTGCGCGATATAAAACTGTAAGATTGGCTGACCAAAAAACGGTTCGTTATTTTTCTGGCGTCAAATTATTTTAAACGAGATCTCAGCTTTCAAATACTATACTAAACAGTTTAAATTATTTAGAAAAAAATATGAAAAGTTTGATAAACACGTCGATCCCTAATCCTCTGTTCCTATATAACTTACGAGCCGACCCGCAGCGTATCATACGCCGCTATTTAGTTGTTTTATTTTCTACTTTTCAGTTATTCATAATTTGTGAATTCGACAGTACCAATGCTGCCACTGAAAATATTTGCTTTAAAACACTAACCCCCCCCCCCTTTCCCCTAACCCCGACCCTACACCCCCCCCCCCCCCCCACCCGTGAAAGCAGCCTCCTCTTAGTTATTTCTTAGTTACCTCCTGTAAGTTTAAAATCGAACTAAATTATCTGCCCCTAATAGAAACCCGGCTCTACGGCTCGACGATTTGTAAACATTTAGAGTGAACACAGCTCACCAGACAATGTGGGGGTGGGGTGGGGGTGGTAGTGATAGTGATAGAGAGAAAGAGAGGGGACTGCAAAAAGGCGCTTGCAGCTTGTTTTCTAACGGCTCCCAGAAGAGAATTATATATATAGATGGGTTTTTTTTTTTTTTTTTTTTTTCTTTGTCTTTCTTTTTCACTACTTTTCTATTTTGAGAGTGCTTGTCTGTTGGCGTGAATCTCAAGAAAATGACAGAGTAAATATTTACAATTTTACTAGCAGACTGAATAAACAAACTCGCTGGAATGTATCCTGCTATACTGGAACCAGAGGGGTTGGAGGTGTACCAAACTGGTTGTTACATCGGCGTCTCTGTGAAAAATTTATTACATCGGCGTGTCTGTGAAAATTTTGTTACATCGGTGTGTCTGTGAAACGTTTGTTACATCGGCGTGTCTGTGAAACGTTTGTTACCTAGTTGTGTCTGTTAAACTTTTTTACATCGATGTGTCTGCTGAATTCCTTTTGTTTACATAAACGAATTATATTTTCTTACATCGGCGTGTCGGTCAAAAGTGTGTTTTACCGGCGAGTTATGGGACTTTTTAGTTTTTAGTTTTTAGACAAAACGGCCCCGACATAAGAGCCCCGTCAAAAGGGCCAGGGACAAATGGACCTCGTCATATAGACCCCCCAAGTACGTCGGGAGCCCATCAGTCAAGAGCCACTATATCGGGAGCCCATTTGTCGCGAGCCAATATGTCGGCGTCCTTTTGATAGGGTTATTTCGACTGGGTCCTTTTGTCGGGGCTCATTTGTCGGTGTCGTTTTGGCGGGCTGTTTTTTGTCACGGGCCGTTTTGATGGTACACCGTAAATTTTACATTCTTGAAAATGTGTCAGCTCTATGTGGTTTTACTATTTAGTCAAGACACGTTTTATGCATAACTTTTTAAAGTATGAAATAGTATATTTTATTGTCTATTGCATAAATAGTTCATAACCCAGTGTACATGGTATGTATATCATACATAGTCGGGTATAGAAGGGGGAAGTTAGTGCAGGACGATGTAATAAACTGGCGTAGCCTCGCTCTGGTGTGTACAGAATGTACATGTTCGTTCACTATAGTAGATTACAAGACTGTTGTAAGCTCGTGTCACTGTCTATCCGCAGGATCACTGTCTTGCTCTTACGCCCTCTTACTTGTTTGTTTTATTATCTCCCATTCCGAGAGTGTTCATGTCCTCTTGCTTGTTTTATAATCTCCCATTCCGAGAGGGTTCATGTCCCCTTACTTGTTTTATAATCTCCCCTTTTAAGAGGGTTCATGTCCTCTTCCTTGTTTGTTTTTATCTCCCCTTTTAAGAGGGTTCATGCCCCCTTACTTGTTTTATTATCTCCCCTTCCTCTAGAGTTCATGTCCTCTTGCTTGTTTGTTTTATTATCTCCCCTTCCTCTAGAGTTCATGTCCTCTTACGTGTGTGACCACGAAGTGACACCGCCTAAATCTTACGGTGGTGAGTAGTGTTCAGCCCGTCCACCGGGGAAGATTTAGATCCCATCTCACGGTAATCATTTCAATCGGATTGTTCGATGACCAACACTCCACGCTCCCCAGTGGCCAATAACCGCTCCACGCTCCCTGCTGCGAGTACGATTGAAGGTCACGATGACATGTTAAAAAAGAAAAAAAACTCACCTTCACTTTGTATGCGTGGGATGTCTGTTTTGGCCACAGAACTTGGGGGTGAGCTTAGCTTACTGCTATTGAAAACGACTTTAGGAGGTCAGGAAAGTTTAATAAGTGTGATGGAATGCTTGGAATGTTGTTTTATTTTGTTTTAATTTTTTTACTTTCACGCATATACAAAATATAGAGAAAGTATAGTAATCGTGCAAAAAAAAAATCGAGATTTTTGAAAATCTCGACGTTATACACCTCCCTGAGTCGGAAAAACATAGTTTTGCAATCTTGTCCCTATGTCTGTGTGTGTACGTATGTGTGTCCGTATTTGTGTTTGTGTGTCTGTAAAAACGATAACTTGAGCACCGTTATAGCTAGGTTTGAGTTTTGAGTAATTTCCGTTGACCGAAAGTAGTAATTTTCGCTATTTCCGATATCTAAAATAGCACATTTGAATTTATAAAGTATTGATAATATTCCGCATTATTATACACTTTTTGTTTTGCGTTCACTTGGTGTGCAATTCTCTTTTCTATGAGATTCTTTTCTATTTTTAAAAGTTTAAGTAATTAAAAACGGATTAATAATCTATATCCCGAGTTGCCTTCCCATGTTGTTTTATTGTCGGAATATTCGAGAAAGTTTATTGGAGAACACTCCCGATTTATTATTTTTTATTTTTTTGTTTGTGTACTTTTTTTTTTTTTTTTTTTTTTTTGATATTTTTCATATGCTTTATTTTAATTACTCCCTGACAATAGGGAACAGCTGATATGAATGCTGTGTTTTAATTACTCACTGACAATGGGGAACAGCCATATGAAACCAAAGTCAAAAACTTATGCAAACTGTTGTTTTTGTACTGACATGCACACAACTTAAGCAATTCTCTTTTAATTAGTTTTTTTGTACCTTATTATGATTGAATTAACTTCAAGTTAGGTTTGACTTGAAAGAAAAGAAGTGACAGTAATAATAATGTTACCAAATATTTACAAAGAAGGAAAATCTTCAACAGTCAATGGCCATCAACCTGAAGTATTTTGAAATGTCTAAAAAATATTTAAAAGTATTTATAAATACTAGTAAAAATGTAGAATGTACATAGAAATTATTGTTGAAAATTGTGTGCAACTTAAACCTACATAAAATATTCTCTTGACAAAAGCATAAGATGAACTTTAAGGACATTTTCATATACAAGTACATTATACACAAGCATAACAAGCCCCCCTCCCCCACGTAGAGATCTATGCGTCAAGTGTCTACAGGTGCCATTTCTGCTTCTGTGCTTGGTTTACTCTGCTGTAGGACTGTGACTTTCTTTGGTGCAACATATGATCCCATCCCTACAGCCCTGTCTGCCTCCTCCTGTGTGTAGGGTTCTGTTTCAAGCGCCTTCAACCTTCTTTTGTGGGGCTTGCTCTTAAAGTGGTCTGTCAGGGATTTGTCATTTATAAAATATTTCGCACAAGTCAAACAATAAAACGGTGCAGCCCCTGGTTTGTCCAGGTCAACGTCCTGCTTTAACAAAGAGTCGGGACTTTTCATGTATTACTTGTGCTTTTGTCTTTACAAATTTATTACTATTCTTCTTTAAAATTAAAAACAGTTACCTTGAAATATTCTTAGATATTAATAACATCGAATTATTGGTTGAATTCGGTTTTATTTGTTTCAATTGTTTGTTAAATATTTTTTAAATTACACACCGTAACTTAAAATTTAGGTAATGAGTATTTTTTGTTGTCCTAAGTGGTATTTGTTACTTTATGTCTTGTTATTATCGTTACGTCCCTTGTTATTGTGTATATTGTAGTTACGTCCCTTTTATACTCAGTGTTGACCGTGTAGCTGATTTGTTGTAGTCTACCTGTGAGGCAGTTAACTACAGATAGAAACCAGAGACTAGTCGTGTCGTCTATGCTGTGTGTAGTAATCAAGTACCAAGGTTAACTCAGCAAACTGTGTTTGTTTAAGTAATGTAATAGTATTTACAATGTGTTTATATATGTGTTGATAGAGAATATTTATGGCCGCTGAATAAAAGACTAGACTAGACATGGTAGCCGTTCACATAATTTGAAATCAGGACACACGAAGTGATGACGGATACAGTGACTCAAGGGACTGACGTAAGAGAGAGAGAGAGAGAGAGAGAGGGAGAGAGAGAGAGAGGTGAATGACATTATCAGTACAACTTTCTGACGTTTTTTACGCTTAATACATTTTATCATTAATTATTTCGTTTCATTTGTTGATAGAGTTTCTTTCAGTCATTCTTAGTGAAGTGGGAAAAGGGGGGGGGGGAGGGGTGGCGGCAGTGCTTCACCGGAGCATGCCAACTGTCCCATGACTAAATACAATATATATATATATATTGTATATATATATATATATGAAAAAAATATATAGTTTAACTATTCTACGTTCTCCTGAAATTTCAATTTCAAATGCCCTAACCGCTAACCCACCTATTGAAAAAAAGTCTGAAACATACCCTGGTTATTTAATACATTCGTCAATTTATTCGCTTGTGTTTGAAATCGTAATTTGTCCTGTTTCAACACCCCCCCCCCCCCCCCACCTCAAATCTTACATACAGGAAAATAAAACCGTATGATAAAAGGAATGTCTCGTGTTGACGATAATGGCGGTAAGTGGATGTAATTGTTTCTTTTGTAATGTGTGATGGGAGATAACAGGTTGTTTTGTTGTTGAAAACGTAACGATTGCCGTATCTCAGTATGAGGTAAAATGGCCCCTTTGAAGAGTGACACCACAAAAGTCGATGGTCATTTGGTTGCCCGTGTGATTGTCTTTCTTTGTGTGACGTCATACGAGTTTTATCCAATCAAGAAGAAAGCAAACGATATCAGTCAGCCAATCGAAAAAAGGCTCGACACATCTATATTAATTGTTTTAAGTCTTGTTTTTGGCCCACTTCTCCCCTCATTACAGAGGAACGACCGCAGTATCGCGTTGCATAAAATTACATTGAACTGCGTTTTTATCTCAGTCTGTAAGCAATTAGAGTAGGCTTACATGGTATTCGTACATTACATAACGTCATAAGATATATGTGAATGAAATGTAAGTTCCCTTTTTGAACTTGACGGTCCGCGTGGCAAGTGAAGTAGAGTTCACCTGTTTCTGTGAGACATATGAAGGGATTGTGTGGTCAGCATTATGCCCAGCAAGGGACGTTCTACTGACTTGAAACCGGATTCAAACTCGAAAACGTTCGTGGTAGCAGTCTATCTCTCTACCGCTAGGCCACACCGTCACTAAGCGTGGGAAATTTAAAACCTCAATAGCTGTTATGTAAAAGAAAACCTTGTTGATTCGGATGTCTAATGTAATGTCCGATGTAATGTTTAATTTAATGTCCGATGTAATGTTTAATTTAATGTACGATGTAATGTTCAATGTAATGTTTAATGTAATGTTTAATATAAATTATTACTGATGTGAATACTACCTGGAGCGAACACATAATGCTGGGATCCATTTGAGCGATTTCCGATAACTGGAAGTGAAACTTTTTCTACTTTGAGTTTTTCAAAGTGGCTGTGAACCCTTACTAATGTGAACCATTTTATTTTGTTACTCATGTGATCTTTTTAGATGTGAACCCTTTTTATATAAACCCTTAGTGATTTAAAATTTTAAAACCCGTTTGCTGTGAACCTGAGGGGTCGGCGTGGTCGAGTCGGTAAAGCTCATGGTTGCTAAACCGAAAAGTCTCGAGTTCGAACCCTCGGGCAGATTAGGCTCGTTAGCTGGGAACAGCCACTCTTCTAGGAGAGACAACTCCAAAATTAAACAACTGCTGCCTTGTAGTTTGTTCTTGGTTGGACACAGGCTATGGAAGCAAATCCAAAAAGAAAAGCAGGCTGAAATCGGAGTCAATGGCCTCAATGGCGCGTAACCAAATGACACGTAATCCTTAATTGTGAAGGAAGCATGGTCGATTCGGCAAAGCTCATTGTTGATAAATTCGAAAAAAAGTTTCGAGTTCAAACCGTCTGGCAGATAAGGCTCGATCCCTTCCAACACTAAAAATTAAGAACGAAGAAGAAGAAGAAGAAGCTGTGAACCTCTACAGTCTTGAAATCCTCTTGATGTGAATCATTGGTTCTGCAAAATCTTAGTAATGTGAACCCCCGGGTTCTGTGAAATCTTAGTGGTGTGAACCCCCGGGTTCTGTGAAATCTTAGTGGTGTGAACCCTAAATCCTATGAAACCCTAATGCAGTAAACCCTCACCTGTTTGAACCCTGACTGTTATAAACATCACCAACACACCACCGACTTTATAAACACTTCTTCACAGAAATTGGACCGTTCTTGACCCCCGTATAATTTTTCTCGCGCTGAATAAATTGAGGAAGTGACGCCGTTGTTAGTCGCTTTTTTTCTCAGAATGTTGAGGCTGTCTTATTTTGTGTGGTTTTCTCTGAAACTGATTTTGCACAGATCGTCTTACCGACGGTGGAGTTTGTGTATGTGGTTCTGTTGACGGCCGAGGTTGTGTATGTGGTTCTGTGGACGGTTGAGGTTGTGTATGTGGTTTTTTTCGGCGAATGACGTTGTGTATGTGGTTGTGTGGACGGCCGAGGTTGTGTATGTGATTCTGTGGAAGGCCGAGGTGACGCAAGTGCTTCTGTCTAGGAATGTGTTGATTAAATCTCGAGGTATATAAAAAAAATATCTATATATTTTTAATGGGGAGGTGACTTGGTATTGGAAGACATAGTAGCTTCGATAATAATATTAAAAAAAAAGAACTGTATTTATTTAAGTTGTCTGCGCTTAGTGTTTCTTTTAGATACTTTTTTCTCAGGGGGGAGGGCGGATGGAGAACTTGATACTTTCGAGTGGGTGGGGTGGGGGCTGACTAACATTTATGTGAGGGGTGCGTTCATCGGTTTAAGTATATATTTTATAGATAAATGGACGATCTTCGTGGTGGCACCGCGCCTCCCCCGTCCCCATCCCAATCTCAAAGAGACGTCTGAAAGGAACTCTGTTTTTGTTGACTAATGCGTATTTTTCTCTCTTTTAATTTGTAATGTAATTAGTTTTTTAACTTGATATTACATAATGCAGTCATTCAGACTCACTAGGTTTTAAGTTAATAACTGATTCTCCGATTGTCTTCCTTCAAGAATTACAGAGTGGCTTCCCTTGCTTAAAAATAAGTTGACGATCTACGCCTAAGAAATAAGGATGTCCTACAACGCCATTAAAAAAAAGTGTTGACGGTTTTGCTGTAAAAAACTGTGGACGGGCAACGTCGTAAAAATATATGAACGACCTACGACTTTAAAACTAAAACTTTTTTAAACAGCACCTGGCTGGTTCTATAAAAGACTTTGTGCAACATCCTTTATTTAAAACATAAAAGTTCAACGATCGGAACCTACAATGTACAAAAAGCTTTCAAGAGAAAGGAAAGACAACTGAGTTCGTTCTAAATTTATAAAACAATAAATAAGGGCGACAACTAAAAAAAATGAAATAGCTAACTCAGGCAGACCGATGCCCAGCCATCAAAAGCACAAGCCATTAGCATACATCGACCTCAAAGAGAATTCAGTGATCTCTTCCATTTTGAGTAGGACGGGGAATTTCCGATACTCGCAAAGGCGAATCCACTTGGACTTTGGAATTTCCGATGCTCGCGAAGACCAAGTTGACTTTCGGAGCCAGCTGAAAGATGTCAATCTACGTCAGCTGATTGTTAGACTTTACTCTCAAGCGACGTGAGTAAAAAAATAAAAACTATTGGGGGGAAAGAAAAAAAACAATAATAATATTGCGTGTAGGCTGTTTGTGGTTTCGTTTTAAATATACAGTTTGAGGCCTGTAATTGTGATATATTTTTCAAATGTTTAATTTTTGTACGAAAATATTTTTTTTTTAAATCTGGTAGCGTGGGTGGCTAAAGGTGAATTGAAAAACTGCATCTGTGATCACCTGGATTTTACCTGGTTTTCTAAATCTATTTAGTTAAATATTCATATATACATGAAATCAGCAATTCTTATCGAGAGCACGACAAGTTCAGTTGGCTCAGCGGCTAGACTAAAATACACAGGGGACATGGCCTCAATTTAAGAATAGAAGTTACGTTTTAAAATATGTTTACAATTCGATTACGTTTTAAAATTTTAACGCGAGGGGAAGTCAGAAAAAAAGAGATAAAGTGCGGGATTGTGAGATTAAAAAAACGAGAAAAAATGAGAGAGAGTGCAGGAGTGTGAAAGTGAGATGACTTAAGAGATGGTGAGAGATGGAACGAGAAAATGAGAGAATGTGAATGAGATAGAGAGGAACTAGGAGAAAGTAGGGGATATTAAGAAAGAGAGAGAGAGGGAGAGACAGAGAGAAAGAGAGAGAGTGTGTGTGTGTGAATCAAAGTGAGGAAAAATAAACGAAATTGGGAGAAAGTGAAAGATAACGAGTAAAGGAGAGAGAGAAAGAGTGAGAGAGTGATACAAAGTGTGAACAAAATAGCGCAATTGGGAGAAAGTGAGGGATAGTAAGAAAAAGCTAGAGAGTGAGAAAGTGTGTGAATATTTGAGAATGTGAAAGAAATCGAGAGAAAGTAAGACAAAGTGAGAGAAGATTCGAGAAAGTGGGTGATGAAGAAATACCAATAAGGCTGAGCAACTGAATTTACTGCGACCCGTTATCTTCCGGTATGATGTAAGGTCATGAGGTCAAGGTTATTCCTCTATATTAAAAAATGCAAGTAAATTACCTTTTCGTTGTGGTAGAAAATATGTTTTACGTTTCTTTAACTTTTTTTGTTCGACATTTCATTCATTTTCCTAAGAAGCTGAAATGACATTTTCAACGAAAAGTTAAAACCACACCTTTTGTTATGGTTTCAAAAAGAAATATAAATGAATTTTCATTCATTGGCGTTTTTTGGGAAGATTAATAAGGTTGTAGCCAGTGTACCACCTATATTACTTCATATCTTTCATTACTTCATACCTTTCATTACATCATACCTTTCTCTTCACTTCTCCGCCACTAGCCCAAATCTCGCCCACAAACTCATAAACACCACCGCCACCATAAACCCTCCATCTTGGAACTGCTCACTAAGGTCATTTCCGGCGTTCGTCCACTTGAAGGAGGACACCACTCATGTGAGAGAGGGGGAATTTCCGTTCTATTGATCTATCCTTTGAGAGCCTCGATACGGACACTTTTTGACCGAATAATTGGGCACACACAGGAAGTCGCAGAAATATAATGAACAATCTGATGGATGTTCGGGGTCTTTGAGGAATGAACAATAGCTTTTTGTGTGTCGATAAATTGAAGTAGATTGAAATGACATAATAGATTAGGAGATATTTTTGTCAGACCTTGGGGAATGGTGGCCATACCGGAAGTGTGAGTTTTGTTGACTGTGAAAGGGTGCAGGACGCGTACTCACGTGTAATATTGTCTAGAGGGGTTATCTGAACTTTAGGCGATGTAGAGTTGTTGTTGTACAGGGGTGATTGAAGAAGCTAGGGTGTGGGTGTATTACAATTTTTTGGGGTATAAGAGTATATGTTCAGTGGAAATATTTATGTAAAGATTTTTTCTTTTTATAAAAAACGTATATCATCCCAAATAATATACATAGTTT